GGCGAACGAAAATACATCGTGTGGTCCAACTTACAGGAGTTTCAAAGAAGAAATTCTTCCTATCTCCAAAGGAATACGCCCAGTCAATTTGTTCCACATCACATTACTTCAACAAGGTAACCCAAGAGAAGATAGGTTTTTCAGTATTAAGGCAACCGGAAGCCAATCAAACAAACCAAATGAAACTATTCATTAGACTCCGCATCTTACAGAATTTCGAGAAGCAATAACTGGCCAACTTCAGGAGCCAGCTCTCCAGTTAAATTCAGCCTCATCAATTGGCTACATCACGAAATTCAAATGACAGGAGGTGTAAGTACGGCAGTGCATAATATTTGCAATATTATCCTTGCAAGAATAACGCCAGCACACTGCATTCGAGATGCATAAACTATCTACCTTTGCAGGAGAGGAAGCCCCTCCATTCCATTAATAAAGACAAGGAAAATACCAAAAAGAAGAAAAGAAATGTGAATAATGGTAATACAAGAGCGACATACAGCTCTCGGACGTGTAAGTGGCCATCATCATGCGAGCTGTCGAAGCATATAATGCCAGTCCAGTTTGATTTGCACGGGTCACCCTTTTTCCAGTTACTTAAATTTCCCATAGGATCAACTAGACTCCTCTTGATCTCCCGCAAAGCATTTACTGCAAATGGATTAAAAATATTAGCAAAATTCGGGAAAGCAATCTTCACGTTGTAGAATGACATGCAAGATTTGGGTAGACGGTGGAGCCTGAAGAATGACCAATCAAGATGGTGACTATCAAACATAGAGAGGAAGAGTAATGACCATGTTTATGCAAATTGACATCATTGTTATATGTATAAGTCAATATGCGGAGGCACTTAAGTTCAGTTTTATGCTAAGTGCTACCTTAATTTAAGAGATTTATCAAATATGTGAAGTTATGGTGAAAAAAATAATCACCTTCTGAAGGATCTGTTCTTGAATCGGCTGAATGAAGCAGAAGGCAACAGAATGTCACCAAGAATACTGAACCGCATGTTCTTGAACTCATCATGGTAGGAAGAAAAAACATACTTTATTCTGTTGTAGCACACAGAAACATACATAGGGATCAGAGCTAGATGAATTCACATTTCATAAGAAAAATTCTGGGTCAATGCCAATCTTATAAGTTATGATCAAGTCACCAGAAGACTAACCAATAAATACGTTTGGCAGAAGATAAAACAATTCTTAAAAGAGTCCCCGAAAACTTCTTCAACACCAAGGAAAAGCAGAAGTCTTTTGGTCATCAGACATAGTGCATCCATAAAACAGAAACTTCATGATGACAGTGATCTAATGAGTTGACAAAACATACCAGAAAGAGACTATACATAAGAAACTGTCAACAAGGTTCTATGTATATATCTTTCACCAATGAAATGGGGTTTGAAACTTTCTTATTAATTTTGAATTTCCTTAATGAACCTATATCTACAGACCCCTGTATAGATTGAAGCGACTAGGGAAGACACTGAGCAGCAATAATCAAGCGGCTAATCCATGCCCGAAACATCTTAAGATGC